AGTCAATGCCGTGCCATCTCCCCTTCGTTGTTCCGACAAATTCTGCTGATGATGCCGTCCTGCTGCTCTATTGCTCTTTAATTTGAACTGAAGGCAAATCGCAGTGATTATTGCGTTGTGACGTACCTTCCTCACGCTATGACTCAGAGCATTGCACATTCCCGTTCTTGACTTCCGTTTTATGAACTGAGCTAGTATTTTATAAGTAAAAGATGAAATACCTTATGAAGTAGTCGCTCATTTTCGTCACCTTCGTAGCTTTAGTAGTAAGCGGGTATGTTTTTAGATGAAGTGAACATCCTCGAAAACGTGAACATATCGAAAAATTTTCAAGAAAACGTTGTTCAGCCAATTCTGAAGGTAGGAAATTGAAAGCTGTTTTAAAGTTCATTTGATAAAAGGCGTATTGTATTTATTTGTTATGGTAAAAAATAATTGTGATAGATTGGTGAGTTTAAGATTCGAAGTAAGTTCACTTGTCTGCTCAATTTACCACTGTCGAAACTATAGCTGGGAAGGGAGACCTTACAAAGTGCATTCCATTTAGGGTTTTCTGGATAAGGAAATGAACGCCCTTTTAGGGGGTAAAGGCATTATTTAAGAAAGGAAGGAATTTTTATTTCGTTTGATCACGTTACTAGGCATTAAAACCAAGCAACGAAGGAGTATCATCAATAACTCTCATCAATCTTTGATCGAACGAAAGCTTGTCCTAAAGCCAGATGACTTTCTTCCGGATTGCTATTTATATTTGGTTTATAAACTTACTGGTTTTATTTTCTCGGTGCTTTTGATTTTCATAATGGTCCCTTTTTTGGTTTTTGGGTTCACTCAAGCATCTTATAATGCATTTCTTGTCTGATGATCAGAAGATTTTAATTTCATCTTGGCATCAAGCGATGCTTTGTTTGTGGCACTACTTTCATGTATTTATTCTCTTATCAATTCTCTGGTTTTTACATTGCGTCGGCGCACGGTCTCCTTGCATCTTGTAAGCTAGTGACCACCGGGACCGTACTCCTTCACCGTGGAGAATTGAGGAAGATTGTTATTTTGCCATATGTATAGAAAACTAGCTGGTTGTTAGTAAACTCTAAGAATACCAGAGTTAGTTTTGTGCATTTCATGTTTGGTTTTGCTGTAATTAAAAATCCATGCTTCTTGCAGAGGCATCTAAAGCGGGATGAGTTTTTGGGCCGCATTACGGAAATGGTCTATTTTCTTCCGTTCACAAGGCCTGAGCTTTTGCAGTTGGTGACGAAGGAGCTGGAATTTTGGAAACGAACCGCGAAGGAAAAGCATAAGATCGATTTGGAGTGGGATAACGACGTGCTGGATTATCTGGCCGATGGTTATAATATCCGATACGGCGCCAGGTCGATCAAGCATGAGGTAATTCCTTAGCTTTATATTTAATGCCTTGTTTTATATATTGATTGTCACTGTCATCTTATCGGGTATGGTGAGCTTAACACCTCTACGTGTCCTAAGTTAATGATATTCATTATGCAAGAAATGATCTCAGAATGTTTTGGGCATTAACTGCTTCTTCATAAAACATATTCCTTGTCACGAACACATCTGCTTCTGCTAAGCCAGATGAACGTAAAACATTTCTCCTCTGTTATTAGGACAGTCGGATAGCATGTCAGGAAAGTTCTTGTCACATCTTTCGTCTTCTGAGCCGCTTGACAGCACCACAAGAGACGGTGTACTCTTTTTAGTCTGACAGTTGTTAGCACCTTACCGTTCCTCGTTACTCGGTAATACCACCGGATCTGAAGGATGCTGCGGCAGCGCAGCCAGCATTGCTGGAAGTGGTTTTGTTTTTCTTTTTCGCAATTTAAAACCACTGCTGTTTCGAGGTCATATGAAGATCAGAGAAGGTCGCTGTTTTACGGAAGTTTACCTCATTTTTCATCGTTACTCACTGGACTTTCCACAGTCCATGCTGTTTTCGAAAATTCTCTGCTGCAACTTCTATGCAGAGAAGAAAATTTGGTTCTCAACTTTCGTCGTTGTCGACGACTGAGCCGATATGCTTGAAATGATGGCTTTCGGCGACGTTTGTATCATTCCATTACGGCGGTAATACTCTTGTTCGTAATGAAATATGTGCTTGCAATTATTTGCTAATTATTTTCTGTCACTGGTGAAAGCTGTACCCGAATACTGAATTCAAATACATTACATCCATCATACGACATGTTATAATGACGAAACTCATCACGATAATTCCAAGTCAGATAACGCGTAACTCATCCGACACTAAATTTCACGGCGTATTGCCTTGATAGTTTTCTTAGTTAGGAGCCCGGAGGCTGTGCAATGCATCCTGTAATCTGGTCTTGGAGGAATCATGCGTTATTTAACATAATCAGATGGACGAACATGTTCGAATATTTATGCGGTAGAACATATGTAATTCGCGGCTTCAGGAAGCTCATGATGCGCGGACTTCTTAAATTTCTCGTCTGATCGATTTGCATTCTTTGAATGCTAACTTATAGACTGTCGTGGAGACGTAATACAAATTTATATTGTCACTATGGATATGGTATTAGAGACGAACGATGTGGTTCTTTCAGAAGAACTTGAAAACCAAAGTTTGGATCATAAACTGCTTGATCTAAACTGTTCAATTATGAGAAAAAAGTAAGGTAAAGCGGAAGCTACTGTATATTGGTCACCTAATGAGAAAATTCAAGAATTGTATGGTAACAGTGGTGTCATTAGGCCTGATCATGTGATTTAGACCAAAAATTCGACCACTGGAGTGCTTAATAGATGAGTATATTCGGATGTTAACACAGGCTTTCATAATTTGTCTCCAAACAGTCGCACATGGTCATAAGATATGGTGAGGAATTATGCTTTTTGCCGTCTGACCTCTAAGTAAAGGATAAGAATCGATGACGATGACAGGTTATTGAGCTGTGAGTTGCCAGTTTTCATTGGTGTTATTATTTTAGATTTTCATAGAGTTTAGACATATGAGAGGCTGTACCTTTCTTTGATCCTCAGAACGTTCTTATCTTTGACCGTTTTTACTGTTCTGTTCTCCCCAGCTACCCAGAACTGGCTTGGTAGAATTTTGCGTTTGCCGGATAGGTGATTCTGTTTCAACTTGAAAATTAAATTTTAAGCTGTATGAATGTTGAGATCTATAGACAACTGCGAATAGGTATCAGCAACATCGCGCAATGACTTCTACCGTGCCCTGCCATTCTTTTTAACCTCAGTGCTACATCTTTGTTCATTTTCAACGCTTCGTTCTTCACAGCACGAAATGCATACCATAAACCATAAGTTTTGATCACTCGAATTTGAGATATCCGGAGGAAATGTAAACGGGATCTTGAAAAGTCGAAAGCCACATAAGTGGTAGTAATCCTAACTTTAAATATATAACCAGAAAATAAGTATTAAAGTCGTTGTTTTATCGCTCCTTTTGGTCAAACAACATTTGCCATCTTTCGGGCGAACTGTGGCTATTTTTGTGCTTTCTCGTAAACTCCTCAAGGTTTTCAAGGTACCACCCCTGGAAAGTTATTAAATTGCTCATCCGCTTTTGTCATAATAAATAATAGGCTTGGCATTGCTTTATTATTTTTTTCGTTTATTTTATTGTGTCATTTTCGTTTAGGTCGAGAAACGAGTGGTAAACAAGTTAGCCGCTGCTCACGAAAGAAGTTTGATAAGCGATGGCTGTAAAGTACGGCTTCACATTAAAGCTTCACAGAATCAAGATGAGCAGAAGGATAAAGCGACGGCGAATAGGAGCGGTTACGTAATCGAGCTTGAAATCGTTGAACAACCGAAAGAGAAAGAACGGTCGAAAATTCTTGGCATTCCGCTTCCGGAAAAGTTTCTTCAGTCTGTCCGTTCACTGTAAGAATAATGAAGCCAAACCTGCGCTTTCAGTGCTTTGTCTCAAAGCCCCAATATTACGGATGTTATTTTATTAAAACTATTTTGCCTCAAACAGCAAAATACCGTTGCTTGAGCTTGTATGCTTTCGGTTGTTCGCTCGGTTTGCATATGTGACCAGAAACGAGGTAAAATTTTGTGCTTTGTTGTTTTTCGTC